ATAGAGACATTCTCTTACTCCTGAAGACAAATATCCATTGAAACACACAATCATAACGGTGTGTGTCCTCAGGAACCACCATTAGATTAAACAACAATATCAAGCATTACATAAGCAGAAAATAATAAAATAATAAGTAATATTATAAGTGATTATAAGTGATTAAATGGTTATTAAAATGTATCATAAATGGTTAAATTGAATAATTAAATTAACAATGATTATATGATTCAGTGATTATAAATGAATAAATGTCTGATTGCTCTTGAAGCTACACACAGGTGGCTATTAAGAATCCTGCATCAGCATCGTTCATGAACAGCTGACATCAGTTTTCTTACTTTTGGATCAAGCGAGCGATCTGTTCTGAACACAGGATTCTGTTAAGATTGGTCTTCACTACACTATATCTTACAGCCCAGTCTTTTTTATTTCTTTTTCTTTTTCTTTTTTTATCTGCTATAATTCATGTTGCTTCTTCGTGTTTTAAAATCTATCAAGAGAAAGTTAATTTTGTATGATTATTTTAGTTCACTTCTGTTCCTGTAGAGCTCCAACTCTAATAAAACATCTTCATTGAGATCTCTTAAAGGGATAGTTCACCCAAAAATTTAAATTACCCCATGGTTTACTCACCCTCAAGCCATCCTAGGTGTATATGACATTCAGACAAATACAATCAAGAGTTATATTAAAAAATGTCCTGGCTCTTACAAGCTTTATAATGGCAGTGAATGGGGGTCGAGGTTTTGAAGTCCAATAAAGTGCATCCATCCATCATGAAAATGGAATGAACATGTGTACAACAGTCAGCGGAAGCTAGAGATTACGGCTTATAAAGATTTAAACAAAAAACGCATTGGAGGCCTTTATTAACCCCCGGAGCCGTGTGAGGCACTTTTTATGATGGATGGATGCACTTTTTTGGGCTTCAAAATCTCAACACCCATTCACTGCCATTATAAAGCTTGTAAGAGCCAGGACATTTTTTTTATATAAATCTTGATTGTATTCGTCTGAAAGGAGAAAGTCATATACACCTAGGATGGCTTGAGGGTGAGTAAATCATGGGCTAATTTTCATTTTTGGGTGAACTATCCCTTTAATGACCGACAGCTGTGTAACTGCAGGGTTGTGACTAAACTCTGAACCTTCAGGAGCAGGTGGGAAAAGCCCTGATTAAATGAATACAGATACAGTAACTCACTCATGCTTGAGAGAAACAGAAACGCAAAAGAACCCTTCAAAAGACCAGAGCTAGTCAGTAATATTTAAAAATATTTCACATGACAAGACAACTTCTTTCCCTTTTTGATTTTTCGTCATCATAGGTTTCAGTTATCTTCTCTGTGAGCTCCTTAACCTGCTGATCTACTTTCTCTCTGAAATCATTCAATTCTGCTTCTTGTGTTTTGGTTTCATCTTCATGTTTCTTCTTCATCTTCTCTATTTCCTCTTCAAGTTTCTGTTTCATTTCTTCACACTCTTTTTCTTCTCTGCCTATTCTTTCTCTCTCCTCTTTTTCTCTTCTCTTGATCTCCTCCTCTTGCTCTCGTTTCAGATCTTCCATCATTTTCTCCCATCTCTTTCTCTTCTTCCTTCTTCTCTCTTCATCATCTTGTTTTCTTCTCTTCCACTCCTCTTTTCCCTCTCGTTCCAGCTGCTCATAACGTCTCTCCATTTCATTGATCTTCTCTTCACATTCTTTCTTTTTCTGTTCTCTCTCTGTTCTCTGTCTCTCTCTCTCCTCCTCTATCATCTGTTTTTCTTCTTCTCTCTCTCTTTCAAATGTCTTTCTCTTGTCCTCCAGTTCTTCTTGTTTTTCTCTCAGCTGTTCCTCATGTTTCTCTTTTCTCTCTCTTTCCTCTTCCTCTCGTTCACTCATCTGTCGTTTCTTCTCATCCTTCCATTCTCTCTGCTGTCGTTTAATTTCCTCTTGAGTCTCTTTGTCATTTTCAGCCTCTTTTATTTTTCTCATCCATTCTTCTCTCTCTCTATCTTCTTGTTTCTTCCTCATTTGTTCCTCTGAATCTCTCTTTTTTATTTCCTCTTCCTGTTCTTTTCTTAACTCTGTCATGATGTGTTCATGATCAATTTTCATCTTTTCTTGAGCTTGTTTATATTCTTCCTCTCTCTTTTTATCTTCTTCTTCTCTTTCTTTTTGCTCTTCTTCATACTGTTTTCTCTGATCTTCATTCTCTCTCTTCATCTCCTCTCTTCTTTGATTATAGTCATATCTTTGCTGTTCCTCCTCTTCTGATCGTTTCTGATCCTCTGATTTTTCTTTCTCCTCAAACTCTCTCCTCAGTGTTTCCTCTTGTTCTCTGAACTTCTTCTCCAGTCTCTCTCTTTCCTCATCTGCCCTGTGTTTCTTCGCCTCCTGTCTTGTTCTCATGCTTTCGAATGGCATGTCATATTTGGCTTTTAATTCTTCAACTTGAGCCTGATTTTGTCTTTCATTCTCTTTTATAATTTTCATTCTCTCTTTAACGGTGATCGCTGCCTCCTCAAATATCTCATTAGTGAAATATCGGCCCTGATTAGATCTCTTCATCTCTTCTATCATAGTGAACAGCTTAGTAACTTGCGTCTGATCTTGTGTTTCTGTGTTGTTAAAAGCCAGGAATCTGTTTCCACAGTCAGTGATCAGTTTCTCAAGGTCATCATTTTTATATTTTCCTACATATTGTTCTATTGTTTGTTTTTTTAGTTTGTCTCCTCTAGTGTAGAGAACAATGCTGAACTCTGCTGCTTTTGGTCCAAAGATCTTCATTATCATTTCTAAAGTGTCTTTCTCCTCTTTGGTGATTTTTCCCATATTAAACACAGTGATGAACGCATGTGGTCCAGGTGCTGACAGTGAAACACATTTCATTATTTCTTCCTGCACTTGTTCTTTTGTCAGTGAGGGGTCAAAGAGTCCTGGAGTATCAATAACAGCTACTGATTTACCATCAACTTCACCAATTACCTTTGTACAAGTAGTGGTCACTAAACATGAGCTGTCTTTACTGTAAAACCAATTTTTTCCGAGGATAGCATTTCCTGTGGCAGACTTTCCACTTCCTGTCCTCCCAAACAGCAAGATTCTCAAGCATCCTGAATCTGATGGTGAATCTTCATCATCTGAAAATGACAATAAGAGAGTTCAGAGATTAACAACAATTGATTAAATTTGGGACCCTGAGCAACAATTGTTAAATTCAAACCTGAAATTTTAACTATAAGCGACAGTTCATCTCAGTGGTTCTCAATGCTTTTTGGGTCACCACCCCATATCCATTATGCAGACTCTTATCCCATTAAATAAAACGAAGGCTAACTGTCCTCTCTGAATATTCCCTGTGTTTATAATATTAATATTACTAATAAAAATAAGTTTCGTCTTCTAATAGTAATAATCATAATAATAAATAGATTAGATTAGATACATTTTGTGACATTTAAATGATCATAAGGATAAACAATGCAGATTTAATTTCACAGGCTTCTTTGCTCATATTTACCAATGGGGCTCATAATTCTGACATTGACTATATATCACAACTGTTCAGTGTTTTTTTGACCACATTGCAACTTTTAACCAGGATAATTTGACTCGGTCTTGATTTGAAACTTGAATACAAAGACTCAAAGACTTCTGGGGGCCTTAAGCAAAACTTCATCAGGGGGTGCCTGTCAGTGTCACAGTGTGCCTACTGTGAAGGAGCGAGGAGACGAAGGAGATTCCAGAATTATCACAGACTTTATTTACAATAGGGAAAACCACACAAAGGCAGCTCGGGGAGCCATGGCAGAGCAGGCAGACTAGGAAGCCATGGCGGATCAGGCAGTTCAGGAGGCCATGGCGGCACAGGGAGCTCAGGGGCCATGGCGGAGCACGCAGCTCGGGGAGCCATGGCGGAGCAGGCAGACTAGGAAGCCATGGAGGAGCAGGCAGGTTAGGAGGCCATGGCGGAACAGGGAGCTTGGAGAGCCCTGGCGGACCAGTCAGTTCAGGGTGCCATGGCGGAGCAGGCAAACTAGGAAGCCATGGCGGAGCAGGCAGTTCAGGAGGCCATGGCAGAACAGGGAACTCAGAAGGCCATGGCTGGACGGCCTCTGTGGCCTTGGCCTCGCCACTCAGCCCGGCCACTATGGACGGACCCATAATACCCCCCCCCCTAAAAGAAATTCCTTGGGGAGAATATCGTCTTTAGAGGCCCTCCGTAGGCCTAACTCGGGAACAGTGGCCCTCACAGGGATTGACTTGGGGACTGGAGCACTCCTTGGGGTGGAAATGGGAACTGGAGCCCTTTCTGGGCTAAACTCGGGGACAGGAGCCCACTCTGGGCTGGATTCAGGGACTGGGAAGCGCTTACCAGAAGCTGGCACTGGAGGGTGCTCTGGAGGAGCAGGCACAGCAAGGCACTTTTGAGGAGCTGGCACTGGAGCAAACTCGGGGGCTGGAGCCGACACTGGAGCGGACTCAGGGGCTGGAGCAGACACTGGAACGAGCTCTGGGGCTAGAGCCGACACTGGAGTGAGCTCTGGGGCTGGAGCCAACCGCCTTCTCCTCCTTCGATTCCCCTTTAGGGGTATGGTGTGGTCGGCGACTTGAGTGAGCTGCGGCCGGCGGGCTTGACTGAGGAACGGCTGGGGGGCTTGTGAATGCCGCGGCCGGCGGGCTTGATTTCGGATTGGTTTTGTTGCCACCAACTGGGTCGATTCTGCATGCCAAATTTGCTGGTCCGTACTTGATTGAAAAGAAGTTGAATGAAACAAACTATGTTGTTGCTACACCTGACTGGAAGTGTAAAAGTCGTGTACGCCATGTGAATCGGCTTAAAGCCTATATGAGTAGAACAACATCTGAGAAGAATACCAATCAGAATACCAGAACACCAATCAGTTCTCCCTTAGCTTGTGCTGCTGCTACAGTGTAGCAGTCCTCTACAGAGGAGGATGAATTGCAAGGCCAAGACTTCTCTATCTTCCCCACCCGCCTTCAAAATTCTGCTATACTACAAAATCTCTCTGGTTTCCTTTTGCATCTCACCGCAGAACAGTCTCATGACTTGATGGAGTTGCTGAGTACTTTTTCCATCTTGTTTAGCAATGTCCCCGGTAGAACATCTGTCTGTGCCCATGACATTGATGTGGGAAATGCCAAACCAATAAAACAGCAAAACAGCACCCTTACAGATTAAATCCACAAAAGCGAGAAGTTATGCAAGATGAAGATAAATACTTGTTAAGTCACGGTATGGCTGTGCCCAGTCAGAGCCCATGGAGCTCTCACTGCCTGCTTGTACCTAAACTTGATTCTAACTTTCGGTTCTGTACGGATTACCGTAAAGTTAGCTTTCAGGATGAGAAATGCACCTGCTACGCCTGTGAATTTGCTAAAGGTAC